GGTGCTTACTGAAATACCTTGCTTGATCGGAAAAGAACTGTGACCCCATTTGAGGGTGGCTGCATGTGATCCTGGAGAGGGTGAAGTCTTTCCAGCCATTCTGCATCTTCCTAAGTTACCCAAGAAGCAGGCATGGGTTGTATCTGCCCAGCGCCACATGCCTGCTCCTAGCACATTGAGCCTTTTGTATTGGCTTCTTGCCTTCCAGTTGCAAGTTGTAGAATTAATGGGTTAGGGTCAGGGGCTGTGTCCTGCAAGCCTAAGCCACAGTACTTAAAATAATTAATTCCTTATATTGCACTTAAATGGGGATGGTTCTTAAAAGCAGTATTTGTGTAAAGACATTGTCATCCAAGGAGGCAGGGTGGCTTGTTAGCTAAACAGCAATTGAGGAAAAACCTGGGGCACATTTTGATCCCAGCTGTGTCACTCAAATGTTTCTTGTGACCTTGGGTAAGTCACTTAACCTTCTCAGCATTCCTAAATCAAAACAACATCTCCCCTTCCCCCCAGATTGTTAGGAAAAACCTTGAAAAAAATGTTTTTAACAAACAAGAGCTGGCACATGGAAGCAAAATGGAACCCCTCTTGGATGTTTATAAAGAGGAAAGGTTAAAGGTGGTTTTTTAGCTGTACTGTGTTTCTTCCTTCTTTTTTTCTGGTCGCTTAGTCCAAATAAGTAGTCTGCTGATTGGAAACTTACTAGTTAATGAAAGCTCTTTGGTGGTAAATCATTTTAAATTGGCAGTTGCTCTGGCGTGCCGAGCTTGAGAGAGGCTTTATTCCCATTCTTGCAACAAAAAAGTCAGCTGTGGTCTCTGACCTATTTCTTTAGAGGTAAACTTACCCTTGCCAAGTGTGAAAAAGATTGGGAAAACACACAGTTTCACTGGTCCGTGCCATGGGCTGGGGCACATCCTAACCTATTTGAAAAAGCCTTCTTTCTTCTCCAGTTTTTCTTCAGTGTTCTTACATCAGCCAGTGTATTAGTTGCAGTTGTACTTTGCACAGACACTAATTAGAGAGCCATCAACATTGAGGTCCAAAGGCGTACTGACAATGCAACTGTCATCGTGGTGTCTTAATTGGTTGAGTGTAATTGTCATTAGGCAGCTATAAAGACATCTGGAGCTCTGGAGAAAAATCAGCCTTTTTTCCTACCTCCATTTGATATCTGTTCTTGCTTCTCTTGGCCAATGTTGTTAAGCACTTTTAGATCACATTTAGGGTCTGGTCCAGGTCTCTTTGCCCCAACCAATGTTTTACCCTCCTGAAAATGTCTGTTTCTTTAGCACGAGTCCATTAGCATGGAGTCTGCCTCATGTTATAGTGGCTTTCATTTGTATTATATTTGAGAGCCTGCTGCTGAGTCATAGTATAGTACCTGCTGAAACAGAAGACTTAGTCTCTGTTCCCATCAATAAAGGAGACAGAGTCTTTTGTATTTTATTTCCTGATGCCTTTTGCAGCAAAACATTTGTTATTATCATGCTCTTTGGTCATGATGAATGAAGCTAATTCAAATAGGACTATATGGAAAATGTCATGTTTATGGAAATAATTTAGCTTATCCCGTGTTTTATAGAGATATTTTAATGAGTCTAGAAATAAATGCAAGAAGTCTCATGGATGTTGGTATGTACATTCTGGGTGTTTCACTAATCATTGGCATTGGAAGGTGGGCAGTGGAAACAAAAAGAGGTACTCCTCAAACCATTCAGGTTGTCACCTGCAGATACCTCCTTTAGCCACCATTGATCTATGTTTAGCTGTGTGTAAGGCACTGTGTGAAGGCTGTGGCAGTGCGATAGGGCCTTCACAGTCAAGTTGGGGAGATGTGATCTCTTCATACGGAATGCAGAAATGAATGCTGATGAGTCAGAAAAGGCTTCATGGATAAGCAGAGGGGCTGTGCTACACCTTGAGTTGGTAGAATCAGGGTGAGTTGGTGGTTCTGAATCTTAGCTATACATTGAACACACTGCTGCCTCATCCCATAGCCAGGCAGTCAGATTTAATTGGTCTGGGGAGTGCTTGTGTATTGGGACTTTTAAAAGCATTCCTGGTGACTCTGATGTGCAGCCAAAGCTGAGCCCCATTGGACTAAGTGTCTAGGAGGGAAAGCACTCCAGGAGGGTACTCACGAGCTGGGGTTCCGAGGCGAGAATATTCAGAAGCTTGTCTAGAGGTCAGCTCATGCTGACAGTGAGCAGATGAGTCTGGGCGGAGGGTTAATGCTAGTTTGTGGAGGGTTATAGTGGGCTCTATAATTAAAACTTCATTCAGTAAGGTGTTGAGGTGGGATTTTGTAGGGTGCTTCCTGGGTATGTTAGTGCTGTTGTAGTGTGACTGTTCTAGTTCTGTTCTAGTCACTGCCTGCACAGCTGTGAACAGGACCCAGACCCTGACCTCAGTGGCTTGTAGGGTGACAGGAGACAAACAGCAAGAGCATCACACAGATGCAGTCACCACCAGGGAGATATTTAGGCTGCCGTCAAGGCAGATCACAGTGAGTGGACATGGTCTGGCTTGGCTGGTGAGAGAGGAAAGGCGTACTTTCAAAAGACAGACTTGTGTTGTCAGGTGTTTTGGATGGCCTGGTTTGTGGGGGTTGATGGAAGGAGAAGCTCAGAAGTTGGGAGCCTGTAGTAGTTGGGATGTGAAGTGTTGAGGGGTTTGTTGAGGAAGGCCTCTGGGAGGAGACAGAAAGCTTGGCCACCCTAGTGTGTATGGCAGTGTGGGTCGTGGGTGGGGGGCCCTTTGCTTTTGGACCAGTGACCTGGGACTGATGGCACCATTGATAAAAATAAGAAATGCAAACACAGGTTAGTTTGGCCGTGAGCTGAAGCTTGCTGAAGGAAGCAGCGTTTGATTTCAGACATGCGGAGTTGCGGTGTGAGTGGGACAGCCTCCTCTGTGGGAGAGAAGGAGTCAGATTGGAAGAGAGTACGGTGCTTGCAGGAGCCCTGTACTCCCTCTCTCCTTTTCCCTCCAAATAAGGAGCGTCTAGCAGTCTGTATTGCACAGCTCACTTTGTCTGGTTCGGCCATTAAAGCACCTTTTGTCCAGCTTTGTCATTTTGGTTGTTGCTTTGCTCTAGAACTGTGTGTTGGGGCTGCGGACTGATGCTCAGGCCACCACGACGACTCCTCTGCACCTTCACCTCCCCACTGTGCCCTGGGGGGACCCAGAGAACAGTGTGAGGATGTTGGTGTATTATAACACCCAGTTAACACAAAACAGGAGGAACAGGACCCATGGGGGACATATGTTTTCCTGGTTTGTACACTTCTTTTCTCAAAGTTTTCAGTTCTCTGGTCTTCTAAATTCCCTTTTCTTTCCTTCACTTATTTTCTCTGTATTCCCAAAACACGTTGCCCTGCCTTCTTATTTTTTCTGAATTGACTGGTTCCTTTCACATAGAATTTTACCTTAATCTCATCACACAAAATCTAGAAATTCAAACATTTCTCCTCTTTCTTCAGTGTCTGTGTAGCTAAGCAAGTGGCCTTACCCCAGAGAATGGCCTGAGTGCACTTCAGGGTGTCATGCTGAGCCTGGTATTCATGGTGCAGTGCAGTGTGGGGCGTGTGTTCTGGCACAGAGTGATCCCACCACTACTTGGAGAGTCCGGGAACCGGCAGCCGTACTTTGACCAGGTGATGGCAGTGTCTGTGCTTACCTGCACAGTGCAGGATTTAAGGAGACTTATGGTGTGAGCACTTCTACTTGCTGGAGGATCAGTGCTCAAACAGGTGCGGCGGTCCTGTTCTAGCAAGCACATCTCTCCTACATGGCCCTTTGTACCGCACACACACTCTCCAGGTGCCATCCTGCAGGTCAAGAGCCAAGGTCTTCAACTGAGGGAATTGATATGACAAAATGACCTTGGGTTATGAAACATGTACATTTACTGTAGATTAATAATTTGGGGACCATACTACTAGTAAATGAAGCACTCCTGAGTCAGTGCTTTTTTAAATTAAAAAACCTTACCTGAGACTATCTCCTGTAGCTACTTCATAAATGTGTCATGTCACAAGTTTCAGTGATTCAATGCATCTCAGAGTTTCTCTTGTTCAATTCTATGAAGAAATAAGGAACCCTAGCTAGGGCCTCAGGAAGACTGGGAGCCCTCTTAAAATCATCAGCCTCAAAGGCATTTCTACCCTCTTCTCCCCCAGAATACACAGTTGCTGTGCATGTACAATGAAGCCTTCTGTAGCAGATGTAAGGAGCTGGGCTGAGATGCCTCAGTGGCAGGTCGCACCCCACCTTGTCATCTGGCACTTCCATTATTCTGAGCCTGTGTCTGAGTGGGTTCTGGCCCTACCTTGGCTTTGATGGCGTCATTTGTTGGAGTGGCAGTAGTCATAGTGAGTGAGTGCTCCTGTTTTTTAAGTGGGCAGAAACCAGGTAGTGACATTGTTCGGCAAGAGCTTTTCATGAGAAGGCAGCATTGTCTGGCTGCTGAAGGCAAGATTTAATTGTTTCAGCAAATCAGTTAGTCTTTAGGGACTTTAATCAGTCAAATCTGATGCATGGATGAAGTATTAGAAAGCATGTGCCTGTAAGACCATTAGTTCTTAGTGTCCCTGTAGCATCTCTCTCTCTGCCTTTCATGTGTGTGTGTGTGTTAAGAATAGTGTTGCTTATACAGATTTCTACCAGTGATCTCTTCAGTGAGAAAATTTACAGTAGCAGATTGGTTATAATAGTGTAAAAGAAAAAGCAAGGAGCTCTTGATACCCATGTCTTATTGTTGTTTTCTCATTTGGAATTGTCACCATTGTGCTGTGAGATTGTGAAATGTGTTTGCAGCCTTCTGTCGTCTAGCTGACATTTTCCCCTGTTGGAGTTACTCATCTAAACAGTGCTGCAGGAGCACTTCCCTACCGCCTAGATCTTACTCCTCTGTTGTTGTGAGCCTGTCCCTGCTTTCTCCACCATGGCCCTGCTCCTCAGTCCCCTTTTGGAACAAGTGTGTCCTTCTTTTCCAGATATACATCAGGGGACGTGAGGGTGTGGGACACCCGCACCTGGGACTACATAGCCCCCTTCCTGGAATCAGAGTTCGAGGAGGACGAGCCTGGAATGCAGCCATATGTCTCCTTTGTGAGGATAAACAGCTCGCTGGCGGTAGCAGCTTATGAGGATGGTGAGTAACCACAACCCTCCTCCCTATTAAGGAAAAAAAAAGCTTTACAAAAATTAAGCAGCTGTGGCCATTTCCCCCCCATAATCCCTCCATACATACACGTGGGCACACACATGTTCACACATACACACTCACTCTTGCCTTTCTGTGAAGGAGTGGCCAACAACCTCCCTGCATTAGTAGGCATTGGAACACAGCACCCATTAAAACTGGTGCTTAATTCCTACTGGAACTGTCAGGCTGGGTGTTAGTGCCAGACACAAGACTGGCCAAGCCATCTTAAGCAAATAACTTGTTTGGTGTAAAATATTAAATATACTTGGCCTACTTTTCCTTTAGCCTCTGCTCAGCTCAAATGGAATAGTGAAAAAGGGTAGACACAGATAATCTATTGACAAATAAGGAAACAGAAAACTGAAAGTCAGTGCCTACCTTTTCCTGGCACTTACATACCATACCAGATAATTGATAGTAATGTGTTGTCTTTTTGGCACTGATCAGATTCTTTTTGTGTGAGCAACTGTGGAGTTACAGAACTAGGGAAGAATCATCTACAGCTAAGTTAGTTTTCATTGTAGATGACAAATACAAGAAATACATGACAGCTTATAGCTAATAGAAATAATGATTTCAATGGCCATGAGGGCCTATATGCTTACCTCTCATGCTCCTGTCCTCCATGATGCCGTAAAATTTCGAATCTTCAGAAGCTTTGTTTCCCCACGTGCCTGAAAGTTGGACCACAACATATTTCAGAATGTTAGTGTTCCTGTCATGGCTCCATTGCAAGTCTTCAGAGTCACTGTGACATTCGCAGTTGGCCCAGAGGAACAAAACTATAGTAAAGTGGCAAATGGGGAATTTGTACCCACATGCGATTTAAAAATAAAAATTATGTATGACTAGCCTGGGCAACATAGTGAGGCACCATCTCTACAAAGAACAAAAATACTTAGGCAGGACTAGTAGTTCATGCCTAAAGTCCCAGCTACTTGGGAGGCTGAGGCAGGAGGATTGCTTGAGTCTAGGAATTTGAGGCTGCAGTGAGATATTACTGCACCACTGCACTTAACCCTGGTGTGAGACTTTATTTCTAAAAATAAAAATAAAAAAATAAAATGTAGGGCTGAGATCTTGAAAGTAGTCTTATTTTATTACTTTAGCAACATGAACTCTGTTCTTTTGGTTTGATATTAGTAGAAGCCATTGATGGGTTTTTCTCTTCAGCCTATAGAAATTTAGCTAAGCTGATTTCTGTGGTAAAATTATTACTAATATTTTATATATATTGATTGAGTTCTTGGATAGATACCATAAGAGCAGCTTGAGCATATTTGCTACTCTCCTAATTATCAGTGAGGTTTTCTTCCCAAAACACCTATGCAAAGGTTGTGATACTTTTAAGTTAGATTCATACAGTTTTAGAATCCTCTAGTAGCCTCCCCCTGCTGTTCACACACATGGATGTGCACATACATCTTCTTCTACAGACAGGGAAACTGAGGTTCAAAGATGCCAGCGAAGTAATTTGCTTGAGGTTGAAGTCAGTAATGAATCCAGAACTGTGATTGTGTCTCCCAGACCATGCTGCATGGTAGTGCTGTTTATGGTGTCCTAAACCATGAGACTTTTGTAGAAATGTGTGCCTGACTGACTTGTAACCCATGCCTCATGTCTCGTGAGCGTGAAAGCAGAGCTTGAAGCAATGTGTACATGTGCTGCTACTGGTTTTCTGTCAGTTAGAATTGACTTTGTTGTCCTCGTCCCCACTGTTACACAGAAGGATTGGGGACCAGCACAGATATGGTAAGGGATCAACTTTGTTTTGTAAATGCTTGGCAAGTGATAGTCAAAGTATATTTTAAGCAATTGGTTTTAAAAATTCATAGTTAGAAGTCAAATAGAGAAAAAATGTTTATAAAATGTCAAAGATGTCTACAATTCTAGCACTTTGGGAGACTGAGGCGAGGGGATTGCCTGAGCCCATGGGTTCGAGACCAGCCTGGGCAACTTGGCAAGACCTCACCTTTACAATAAAGCCAAAAAAAATTAGCCAGGCATGGTGGCACATGCCTGTAGTTCCAACTACTTGGAAGACTGAGGCAAAAGGATAGCCTGAGCCCAGCAGGTTGAGGCTGCAGTGACCGTGAGCATGCCACCGCACTCCAGCCTGGGCAACAGAGTGAGACTCCAACTCAAAAAAATAAAATAAAATAAAATGTCAAAGAAAATGTATCAAAAAAGAAATGGAAATAGTCTTCCCTGCCCCTGACTTTTCACTTCCTCACATTTTGCATAGGGGTCATTCTGTGGACTTTACCATACCTTGCCTTTTTTTTTCTACCTCATGACACATCTTGGTGGTCTTCCATATGAGCACTTACAGCACCCTGTGTATTCTTTACTGCCCGTGTAGTGTGGCCTCATGTAGCTGTACTATAATTTATTTATCAGGGCTTTGTTGATGCACATTTGAATTATGCCTTTTTGCTATTGAAAGCAGTGCTGCAAGTGGTATCCTTGAACAGATGCCATGTGAACTCATGTAGGTATAACCATGGGATAGAGTGCTGATGATTGCTGGGAGCAAGGTTTAGGTGCTTTAGATTTTGATACATGTTGTGTAGTTGCCCTTCAAAAAGGTTTCTCCAGTTTAGAGTCTAACCAAAAGCATAGGAGAGTGACTGTTTCCTCCTATGTGACTGATGGGTGAAAATGGTATTTCTTTTTATTTTTATTTATTTATTTATTTACTTTTTGAGTTGGAGTCTCACTCTGTCGCCCAGACTGGAGTGCAGTAGCTGCTCCCAGCCACCGCAGCCTCGACCTGCTGGGCTCTGGTGATCCTTCTGCCTCAGCCTTCCAAGTAGCCGGAATTACAGGTGCACGCTACCACACCCGGCTAACTTTTTGATTTTTATTGTAGAGATGAGGTCTTGCCTGCCCAGGCAGGTCTCTAACCCGCGGGCTCAGGCAATTCATTCACCTCAACCTCCCAAAGGCGGGGGATTACAGACTGAGCCACCGTTTTTCATTGTTGTTTTTGTTTGCCTTTCTTTAAAGTATATAGGGACATCTTTTCAGTGTCTTTTTAGTCGTTTCTGTTTCTTTGTCTGAAAATTGTTTGTTCCTGTTTTTCCTCATTTTTCTTTTGGGTTGTTAACTGTTCTGCCTGGGGGGACAAAAAGGGCTTAGGAAATAACTCTTGCCTTATATAATTCAGATATATTTTCAGTTTGTCATTTTTTTCCAATGGTCTTTGTTTATGGCTTGTTTTCTACAAGATAGTTTTATGCATGTGTGTGAGTGATTTTAATTTTTTAGCCTATAAAGTGAGTGGGTTTTGTAGTTTAATATTTTTGATTCGGTAATATTTTAGGGTTCAAAGATCAAATTAATATAAAGTCACACATTGAAAAATCTTGCTTCCACCCATGTTTGTCTGCTCCATTCATAAGTAATCATATTTCTTACTTTCTTATAAATCTTTGTGTTTCCATTTTACAAATACAAGCAAATGTGAATATTTATTCTTCCCCCTTTTTGAAACAAAAGATGGCATACTGCTAACTTTGCACTAATCCACACCTTGGCCTTTTCACTAGTTAGCATACTTTGAAAGAGTGTCCGTGTCTGTGTTGAGAGTGCCCCCTTTTCTCACCTGCATGCTAATCTGCTGTGTGCGAGTGCTGTGGTTTATCAAAGAACAGGCATGCTGTGTCTGGTCTTTTGCTGCTGCTAACAGTGTTGTGGTGAAAGACCAGGTATGGATGACATTTCACGTGAGTACAGGAGGGATGTTTCCCTTTAAAGAGATTTCTGAGTCACTGAGTAAATGGGGTTATACTATTTTACACTCTTACCAACAAAAGTATGGATATGCCCATTTCCTCATGGTTTACCAGCAAGATATGTTTCAGACTTTTGAGGAGTAGTCAATTTGATAGGTAAAAAATGGTCTATGAATGTAGTTTTAATTTACATTTCTCTTGGGGTGAGAGAGGTTGAACTTCTTTGTATGTGTGTGCCTGCTACTTGTGGTTCTTTCTCTTCTGTTACTGTTAAGGCTTATTTTTAATACTTAACATCTGGATCAATATAGAGTTCATTCTGGATTTGTCTGAGACATGGATCCAAGTATATCTTTTTCCAGCACCTCTTACCAGAAAGCCCATCTCTGCTTCCCCAGTTTGAGGTGCAGCCTTTGTAAGCTTTTAGATATGGAATTCATTTTGTCTCTGGATCTGTTTCTGAACTTTGTGTCTTGTTTCACTTGGTTGGTCTGGCAGCTTAAATTTACATTAGGTTTGTCAGTCTAGTCCTTTGGGATTCCACATCATGCCCAGGAAGACGATTACTCTAAGATTAGGTAAAATCCATAGTATTCCCAAAGCTGCTGCGAGTACTTCCGTTGGAATTTTTTATTTGTCTCAAGTTCATTTTGGCATTAAGGGTTATTTTATAAGAGCCCTTGTGTTTTCTTGCTCCTCTCTCTTGCTGAGCTTGTTTTGTCAGTCTGATTTGTGTTGTTACTGTTTCTGTGATGAAAAACAATTTCTTATTCTTTCCCCAGACCTCAGGTGGCATTATCTTTGATCTCACTTCAGTTTAACAGATTGACACAATGACATTTATACCAGTATATTCATGAATAACTACTTCTGGGCAAAGACAGATGCAGATAATCCAACCCACATTTTTATATTGCTCCTTTCTAGGAGCAGCTAACTGGCACTTCTTAGGGGCACAGATATGGCACGGAGGAAATTTACTTTGTAGGGTCTGCTGCATAAAATGTGTGACTGTGCCCTACAGAAAAGAAGAATAAGATAATAAAATGAGTAATGAACTTCAGCTTTCTGCTTGTGCCAAAGTGAGACTCTGTAGTCATTGAGACCCCTTGATGGCCTGCACATGCCTTTCCATGGAGGGAATCCTATCCAGGGGGAGATGGAACCTGCTTTGGGAGAAAGTAAGTCCCCCACATCCTCTTTAGCCTC